TACCTTTAATTTTCTCTCACGGTACGCAACAGAATTTGATAATATATACACCACTAGATAGCGGAAATCTTCCTCTACAAACCTACATATATCCCGTTTTGTGGTCAAAACATCATAGTCGCCTTTGGCGACTATGATTTCTCATACGATATTATACATATTGATACTATCCCTTTGTCTGTAACTGAGCGTATAAGTTTTATGAATTCACCGACTAAATGATAATTATTTTTTCCGTAAAGTTGATCAATATTAACTATTTAATGTCTCATCTTTCTTTTAGTTAATATGTAGTCTAGATATTTATCGATTTTATTGACTTTAGATGGTTCCTCTTTATCTCAACGTGGTGGTCAAATTTTAATGATCGATAATCCTGAATTATCCTATTACAAATCGGCTCTCGAAAGTGAACGTGCTCGTCGAAGTCATTCTGAAAAATTGATCGAATCACAACGTTTAAAATTGTTAGAATATGAAGAACATCTTCTACAAATAAAATCATCCGATATGAAAAAGACATTATGTATGCAACAATTAGAACAGATGATACCAAATATAGTTGATGAATGGAAACAAAAAGAACTTGAATATCAAAAACAACTTCAACAACAAGATCAACGCCTTAAGAAAGGTAAAATGAGAATAGTAAGAAAAGATATTGCTTCAAACAAAATATAGAAACCTTCATCAATGTTTTTTATTTTCTATATTTGACTAATTCTTTTTTTTTTGAGTTCATAGTAAAATATTAACCGTTAAAAGTACTGATTGTTTTTATAAAAATTGTTCAAAAATTTCATTTCATAATCAATTTCTTCTTTTTTATTTATAGTTGAACATGAAAAAGATCAACAATTTCAAGAATGTCAGTTATTACACACTAAATTGAAAGATAAGAGTGAACAAACTCAACAAATGATAAAGGATCGAGAGAAATGGAAAAGTGAAGGTGAACAGAAACAAAAGGATTTGATTCATATACAACAAAAATTACAAGAGCAAGAAACAACAAATCAACAATTGAAATTTGAATATGAACAAGTATATATATGCACGTAGAAGTCTATTTTTGTATACCTGCACAATGCTCGTACGATATTTTTTCTGTCTAAGAACTAATCACAGTTTTCTTTAAACTATTCCAAAAGAAATAGTTCTAGAGACACACTTATTGTATGAAAGACCCATCTTTTATATTGGATATTGTTAACCTCTGGAAATTGTTAACTTTCTTTTTTTTTCCTCATGTTTAGAATCAGCTTCGCTCGTCAAAATTAGAAGATGAATTAAAATGTGATATATCGAAATTGGAACACACAGTCGAAGAAAAAGAACAAGAATTGGAAGTAAGAGCAAAATTTTCTAATGAACTGTTCTAATTCTCTGTGTGTATTTTTGTACTTGCAGGAAAAACGTGTTGAATTTCAAAATATTCAAAAAGAGTCCGATCGTGTCATAATGGAACATCAGACAAAAATAAAACAAATTGAACTCGAACTTGATGAACAACAACGTGATAATGTATGACTGAGAAGCTAATATTATAAGAGATTTTAAATAATATATAGTGTATTTTTACTCGTTTTAGAATGTGATGAAAATGGAATTAGAATTACGCGATGCAAAATATCGAACTCAAACCGAATCATTAAAAATTCAATTGACAAGAGACTATGAAGTTAAAGTTAGTTCTTTGACCACTTACTCTCATAAAATCTAGTAAACTAATTCATATTATTTATTTCTAGTTAAAAACCAAGTTAGATGAAGTAACAATGAAACATTCTCGTCTTGAAGATGAATTTTCTGAATTAAATCGTCGTAAATTATTAGATCAACAAGATAAACATACGCAAGAAGTGTTTCAATTAAAAGCATCGTACGAAGTGAAAATAGAAGATTTATTAAAGAAAATTGAACAGTTACAAATTGAATTAGAACAAATGCATACATCGACCGTATCTGAACGACAAGAATTGGCCAAGAAGTTGCAAGATGTATTTGAAACAACATTGCTTAAAGGAACGGCGACCAATTTAATAGTAAGAGTAAAATGCGAATAGACAGGCATTCATTCGGGTACTAACAAGTAGAATTCAGTAAAATATGAGGATGTCTGGAAAAATCATGTACTTGCCTACTCATCTTCTCTAGCACAATTAGTACGTTGTTTATTGTAGAGTGAAACATTGTCGAATATGAGTGAGCGTACAATGCCAATAGATTCACAACATCGAAACAGGTTAAATTTAATTATTTCTCAGTATTAATATCTCATGTAGTTTTATTCTCTATATTAGATTGATTCAAATGGAATCTGATCAAAGTACGCATCGTGCAGATTCTGGTGAGTGACGTAAAACGAGCCATTGTTGCAGAAAACATTGATTAGTAAAATAAACTTGTGCTTGAGATAAAACAAATACAATTTTGTCTCATTCAGCATACTCTCTTTACGCTCCATACTTTTTTGATACCAAAACAGTGATGATACATCTGACTTCGTTACCTCTTTTTTTGAACGTACATCTTACAATATTCATTGTTTGATTCATTGACAGATAAAATAATAGCAGTGAATTATTTTGGGTGAAGGATAGAGCCAACTCTACTTATTCAATTTATTCATGTTTTGTCTATTTAGATAATTATTCATTACACACTCAAACTGTAATGACTCAACAGCAGCAAAATTCTAATTTATCAACAATTCGTTCGTTATCAAATAGAATTGATTCTCTCGCTGATCAGACAAATAAAGTTTATACCGGAACATATGGAAATATTGATCATCAGCAAGAGTATCGACCACAATTTACTGGGGTTGAACGGCATGAATGGGCATTAGACACAAATGAGTGAGTACTTTCATTTTAATAGATAAAAATATAAAGACAGTATAAACCTGTCAAAAGATGGTTAAACACCACACTAGTTTGTGTTGAATGAAATTTTGTGTGATAATCGCGCCCTAAAATGAACGAATTCAACAGTGTTTTTAGAAATTGTAAGAAAAATAACATTTTATGATCCATCTAGAAGTTGTTTATGAGTGTTACACTGTATTGCGTATTTTAGTCGTGAATTTAATCCCATTCAATTACAACAACAACCACCATTACTCCTACCATCGTCTGATCACTCTCATCTTGTTCAGTCACAATTTAATCGTTTAAGTCCTATTCAGTATACGTTCGACTGGTTTCCACATTCCTCGTCGATTCAAAGTCAAAATCAGAATAATACTAATGACAATGACAATAATACCGTTCATAGTCCGTTGGTAGATTCCTCAACTCTAACCAAACAAAGTTACTCTCAACCTCAATCACAATCATCCTCATCGATATTCAGTTTAGGTAGGTTTTGTGAAACTCCTTCAGCATCCCCAAAGCAGAAGGAATTGAAGTTTCATAATCAAAGCCCCTGTTCTGGCCTGTTTTTTAACCTCCTCCTCACCCTCTTAACAAAGTGATGTATCCCTCTTAAAATTGTAGTGTATTCATCTTAAAAGACGTTCGTTGCTCCTCTATATTAGTGTACACTATTCCCAATACCATCTTTCGGCTAATGTAAGGGAGCTTCACCGTTTTGGCTTCACAACGGGCTGCCCTGACAAGGTTTTTAAGAAAGAGTATGTAAGTGATAAAGAAGATTCCTTTTCTTTTACTCGAATATGTTTTATGTCAGACATATTCGCTATTTCATGCTGTGAAATCTACTAATCGAGTATTATGCTCGAATATTTCGTCCTTTAGGGTGTAAAAACATTTCATTCGATTTATTATCATATCCTTACCTAAACCTTTATTTAGTTAGACTCAAGATATTTTTTTAAACTAGTAATCAATTAAATTAACATTTTAGAATCAAATGGTAATAATAACAATTTACCTTCATCGCTAACCTCTCGTCTCATTCATCAACAAAGTTTATCAAATAATTCTCTAATGAGTGATAGAAGTCAATGTGACTATCATCATCAAATACAACAATTCGTTCCCACTTTATCGTCTATATCAAAAGGCAGTATTGATCTGGAACAACCAACAATAAATAATAACAACAATTCAAACGAGTCACTACAACGATATATTAAAATGTTATTAGATAAATCACCAAAACATGAACAGTCAGCAGGTATATTATAATTTATCGTGAACGTCTAAAACATTATCAATAAAATTAAAAATAACTTATTCTCCTAAGCATCTTATAATGAAAACTTTATCTTCTACGTTTGTTGAATGTTTATTTTATTTTATATTTTAGATCTTTCTATGCGCATGCCTAACTCAAATTCTCATCTATTATCTGGAACTCACTGTTCTCTTCAAGATAATCGTTTATCAGTTGATGAATTTAATTCTAAAATTTCTTTATCATCTCATAATCAATCCGAACGAGATATTCAAACAATTGTCGATGATCTTATTCACGAAGAATATACACCTCGTCAACAACAATCTCAACGAACTCCAATAAAAAATGATGATATTGGTGTTAAAAAACGTTTAGATTATAATCAAAAATCAGAATCTCACAATGATCTATTTGATCGTCTATCACAACCTAAAACACGATCAAATCGATCGAATAAAACAAAAAAAATAAAATCTACATTACAACAGACAAATGCATCATTAAATAGCATAAAAACATCAGCATGGAAATAATTTTTGTTCGTATCATTTTAGAAAATGATAGGTTTTATATATATTGTATAGTGTTGAAAAACTATTATTTGATTTTTAAAATTTTGCAGTTATTGTTAGTTAATAAAAAATAATGTAATAATTTAGGAATGTGATATAAATAGCATAGTGAACTGACTACAGTAGCTTATATTTTCAAGATTTTCTAACACTTAATTTGTTTCTAGACAGTAGAAGATTGCTTTTCCATATTCTAAAGGATTTTATGATTCTATTAGAAAGTTTGACAGTTTAGTGTCATTAATCATCAAACGAATATGATCTTTGTTTTTATACGCTTAGAAAAGCAATAATTTTTACGGTATAATTAGACTAGAAAGGTTTAAACTATGTATAGATACTCGATCAGTAAAAATTTAATATTGGATATTGTTACTCTCTCGTGGATTGATATCCTTAGATATCAATAGAATTGTGTACGACTGAGATTAAATAAAGTGAAGATGAAATAAATAAGATCAAATCTAAGCGTGTAAATATTAAACTTTATTTAAAATATTTTATAGGAAAATCATTTCTGATTATTACATACATATTGATGCACTTTATTACAAATAGAAGAGTACAAAAAATATGAGTAACAACAAATGAGATTGAGTACATTATTGACTCTCTTACTAATAGATTCGAAATTAAAATAACGAGATATATCGAAGTTCGAAAATGATCGACGGCATTGTTCTATTTCTCGAAAAATAACACTTTGAAGGACCCGAAAAAACGAAGATTTCCAAGTCTTCGGCATATCTTATCGACGAATATTCAAACGTTGTTCTAGCAAGAATCAAAATAATCTTCGTCTGTAATGACAATACATTATAAATGAGCAGTTGGTAGATAAGATTAGTACACTTGGCCTAATGTCCATGAGTATCGTCCTTCTTCATTATTAAATGAAAACATAAGACATACAATACATTTCATCACTTCTGTTTTTATTGTCTTATTTTCATAAAATATTTGTCACTTCTGAACAAAATACATGATCAGTAAACTACAGTTGTGAATTTCTAAATAGTCGATCAAATTTTCATGTGATTCGTCGAAAACAGGACATACAGTTCAGCCACATAAACTTGTCGTCGGACTATATCAGATCATATGGACAACATGATAAGGTATTTTAAACAAATATCACTGAATATATAAGGAATAGTCTATTGTAAATGCTATCTATTACATTTTGTATTTTATTTTCCTTTTGTAAACGTAATATTTCCAGTATATATAATTGTATATTGCAGTATTTTATATCGATACACTAATAAAAAATGTTTCTAGAGTACAGTAACTATGTCATCGTTGGATTATTGAATTAATATAATATATCTATTTAAATTATAATATTTTGATTTGATTGATAAACATAAATTAACTTGAAACTTATTTTTTGAACAGTTTGAGCACAATATAAACATTCACAAAGTAAATCATTACACTGATAAACAGAATTTTTTGACTTTATATAATTATCAATCTATAAAAAATATGTTAATATACGATGCTTGGACTATTAATGCCCAATTAATTATTTCAGCTGCCAATTAATTTCAGCCAATTGATTTCAACTGTTAAGATTCAAACAAACTTCTAATGGTGATTCTGATAAAAATGCTATAAAAATAAAACCGGCCGTATATCGATTATTATAAGTCACATTCATCTCCAATACGCTCGATCTTTTGACACAAATAGTCTTCGACGTTTTGAAAAATAAAGCGATCATATATGACAGGTAACTGAACAACATTTCTGTTATTGATAACTGTTTGATCATCCTTTCATACTTGTGTGCGAACAGATACATTTTATTACCTATCATAAACATGAAAATATTTTTCTAACTGAATCTTCATATTAAAAACCTTTACCCTTATCTTCATATCTTAACCCCTTACCCTGTCATTTCATACACTAATTACATTTTTGAAGTTAATTCATTAACTAGAAATATTCAAAGAGATATGGAATGGTAACTCAAGTGTTTTATTAAGATCTTTGCACGAAAACTTCAAGATTCAATCGAGATATTCACTTGAGTAATCTCAATCCTATTAATTGTAGCTCAATCGGATACACTAGTCAGGTAGAAAACTCGAACATACTATAGAATTTCAATGTAGTTTCTAATAGAAGACAGAATTTTTGTAGGAAATCGTTAGATATTACGGGATACTTATGCAGGATTCTATCGAAGAATTGATTGATATGAATTGTGCTTTCTACTATTTTACACTAACGATAAGAAACATTTATTCTGTAGGATCATTCTCTTTCAGTTAGCAAAATATTGTTCACAATTTATGTAATATTACCTGTATTAATTACTTACCATGTGTCCATTTCAAATGCATGACGTGTGTTCACAATTGAAACATTGTATACCATGGCTGGTAGCAGTTTTTCAAATAAAATTTCGAATTTCGAGTGCCGATTAATATTCATTACCTACTCATCTTCTCTAGCACAATTAGCAGGTTGTTTATTGTAGAGTGAAACATTGTCGAATATGAGTGAGCATGCAATGCCAATAGATTCACAACATCGAAACAGGTTAAATTTAATTATTTCTCAGTATTAATATCTCATGTAGTTTTATTCTCTATATTAGATTGATTCAAATGGAGTCTGATCAAAGTACGCATCGTGCAGATTCTGGTGAGTGACGTAAAACGAGCCATTGTTGCAGAAAACATTGATTAGTAAAATAAACTTGTGCTTGAGATAAAACAAATACAATTTTGTCTCATTCAGCATACTCTCTTTACGCTCCATACTTTTTTGATACCAAAACAGTGATGATACATCTGACTTCGTTACCTCTTTTTTTGAACGTACATCTTACAATATTCATTGTTTGATTCATTGACAGATAAAATAATAGCAGTGAATTATTTTGGGTGAAGGATAGAGCCAACTCTACTTATTCAATTTATTCATGTTTTGTCTATTTAGATAATTATTCATTACACACTCAAACTGTAATGACTCAACAGCAGCAAAATTCTAATTTATCAACAATTCGTTCGTTATCAAATAGAATTGATTCTCTCGCTGATCAGACAAATAAAGTTTATACCGGAACATATGGAAATATTGATCATCAGCAAGAGTATCGACCACAATTTACTGGGGTTGAACGGCATGAATGGGCATTAGACACAAATGAGTGAGTACTTTCATTTTAATAGATAAAAATATAAAGACAGTATAAACCTGTCAAAAGATGGTTAAACACCACACTAGTTTGTGTTGAATGAAATTTTGTGTGATAATCGCGCCCTAAAATAAACGGATTGAACAGTATTTTTTAGAAATTGTAAGAAAAGTAACTTTTTATGAGTATATACTTTTTATTTGAGTATATACTGGCTATTTCTAACTGATCCACTATAGCCATGTGTAATTTATCTTGTTATAGTGGATAATACGTTTGATTTGTTTCAATATTGACGAATAAAATTGAACGAATTTAATGGTGGAATTGAGCAAGTAATTTTATACAAAAAGTCATGTGTTTTCTCATGTCCTATAGATGAAATTGATACACTAGGAAGATCTAAAATAGTAGAATAAATTTAATATTTGTATAATATTTTGATAAAAATTGTTGAAATGAGTCACCAGTTTTAATTGTGCATATTTCATTTTTTTTGTTTGGGTCATAATTGAGTAAAAATGTTTTAATAGAAACTATAATTGCATATTGTTTAAACCGAAGGTTGGAGAATATAAAAAACGCATGGGTGAATGTAGTTTAGTCGATTGAACGACCCACAAATACAAGAAACAAAAAAATGAAAATTCATTGAACTATATTGACTACTTTGTAGGTTGAAATATCAATTTCTGACAATTGTTTAATTTTTTCAAGCAATTTGAACATGTCAAAGATTGCTATTAATTTGATTTTGTACTAGATCAATCTCATCTACACGTTATCTAAAAACATCTATCAAGTGGTTCATAAATACAATAGCAGTAATCAGCAAAAAAATTGTCTTTAATTCATTTGCAGTTTACATGCTTATTTCTATTAGCAAAGGAATAAAAAAGCGAGAGTCTAATCTAAAAAATAAAGCTTTTTTTAAGCATAGAGTTTCCTTTAGCTCTATTTATTTTCAATAAAATAGTTTTGTTAATCTTCCGTGTATAAAAAACACACGAAAATGACAACTGTAATCGACTAGTAATTATAACAAAGTAATATGACAAAAATTAAGAAAGAAAACAATTCTTTTTAATTTGTATATTAGTCCACAAAAAAAAAATAATAACATTTTTATTCAAAAATCAAAACATTATAAAATGAAATCATTAGTTGACCATAAACATGTCTATGTCCTCGTCATGTTTCTAAATTATCAAATACTAAAATATAGTTTGCATAAAATTTCTTTACTACATCAAATTAACAATAGTTATGTCATAACAATATATATCTTTCCTCTGTTTAAAATTGTAAAAAGACATGTTCAAAAGAAAGACAAATTAACAAGACAAACGGTCCTACAAAAAACTTTTTCTTATAGTACATTATAAATTATTGTGTAGTATCTGCATTCTTGTAGACTATCATAAAGAACAATTTTTTTAGAAGTAATACTAGCACAAATGTAAATCTAGATAACATTATATAAAGAGCATTTTCACAACATTACATATGAAAAAGAAACTTTTCACATTTACTATATTCTTTTTATTCTGATAATCTTGTACACTATTCTAATATATTCGACGACTTCATAAAAAAAACAAAAAAACATTGTGCAATCAATAAGATGAATTTGTTCTACGGTCAGTGATAAAAAAAATGTACATAGGAAATATTTATTTTCCTCTAGATGAATGAGTCACATTTAAAATAATAAATCATCCGATGAATAAATAGATCATCATTTTGATTTTGATATGAAAAAATCCGACATTGATACAGAAAATAACAAAAGAAAAAAAGAATGATAACTGTGAATGCAGTCATATTCGTTAACAACATAGGGGACGTAGACAATCTTTAACATCATTTCGACTAAAAATTGTTAAGGTCACAGTTGACTGTTGTTCTATTATCCCTTTTATAGACCAATAATGTAATAAAATATAAAATTTCAGCGTCAAATAAAGATACACCAGATCCTTTTATGTGATCATAGGAGACATCAGTGATTAATACTGACTGATACTTAAAAATATTAACATGGTAAAATATTGATTGATATCACTGTAACTTTCTATACTCTTCATACAAATAGATATTTTTATATTAAATGATGTCAGAATAACAGAAAAAAGAATTTTCTTGTTCCAGTTGTTACTACAATCTTCTGAATAATGGAGATAAGCATTTTGGTTTGGAGATGACAACGTTGGCAATTGAGGTTTCAACTGTGATAAAGTAAAGAGAAAAACAAAAAGGTTGAAGAAATTAACTCATTCAAACAAACGTTCTTTAGAAACACATTTGCTCCGTTTTTATGAGCGTCGTTAGCTAATGAAAGAGAAAACAGCTGTTTCAACGCGTCTTTTGACCATCAAGGATGATTAAGAAACGCGTTAAATATATCCGACCAATGAATTTGGTGAGAACGCGCTTATTGTGCTGCCATTTCGACTTTTTTGCCTGGAATATTGAACTGAATGTGTTTTGAAGTCGAATAGAAGAAATCTTGAAAAACATTGCCGGATAATGTAATAGACTATAACTCAACATAAAAGGAGGGGACTGTAAGAACAATGTCAATAATAAAAGGCATGTTAAATAAAATGTTGGCGAGAGCGTTCTGCGCGTCTCTCCTCTAAATACCAAGACTGTGTTGGAATATTACTGCAACCTTCGTACTGTCTTCTTCGATCGAAATAAAAAAGCACAGATGAGTCAGAAGAAAGTTTCGGATTTAGGAAGAATTATATGATTGCTTATGTCCAGAGTTTCATCGTTTTCTTGAATCGTTTCTTGTTTTTTTCGAGACTTATGGTTACTCTTAAAAACGGTTCCTAAAACAGCTGTGAATTCTCAAAATTTTCAGTTAGAACGGGATAATTCATGATTTTTTACTTTTTAAATAATTTTCATACATTACAGAAAAGCTACACTTGTTTAAACTAAAGTGTAACACTCAAAGACGTTGGCTTTTAAATACGACTGGCAGCTCTGGTCAAAGTTGTAACCAGGCCGATGCCGGTCCGTTCCGGTGTACAAGTTTAGACCGGCAGGTCTCCACCGGTCTTTTGCCGGTCTAGAAAGATTTTCAAACCGACCGGTTTTTTGCCGGTTTTGAAATTCTTAGAGTTTTCCCTTCTTCACTGAAAATAGTGAGTTTTTCTACCCTCTTGTTCGTCTAGAAAATCATAGAAAACCGGCCGGCTTCCTGATGTGTTTTCACTGGTCTACAAAGTTTTTCAAAACCGACCGTTCTTTTGCCGTTTTTTAACCAGTCTAAACCGATTTTTGGACCGGCCGGTCCGTTCCATTGTTTTGGATTGGCCGGCAGGTCTGGCCTCTTATTTTTAGACCGTTACAACTCTGGCTCAGGTGAATGCTGCGTTCAAAAGTGATAGTCATTTCTTTAGGAGTTCTCAAAATGAAAACTTTTGTTGCACTAATATCTCAAGAAAACAGACAAATATTGCTCATTTTTCGCATTTTCGCTTAACTACGACGAAAAATTAGGTGTAATGTGAGACCATGTCAATTTGCAGTAAAAGTTCAAGGTCAAGGTCTTCTAATTGAAACACTACTTTGAAAAATGACTGTTTTTAAGTGTTGTAGCGTAAAAACGAACCATGAGGATATGACGCGTCTATCCTAGTCATCGATTCTTATGTAACAATCTTACCAAATGTCTAAGTCTATTACCAGTGTCTCACAAGATGCTTATCGGAATCTTATCAGTTTCTTATATAAGATTGTTTAAGATTTCTCATCGACAGTCGTAAGTGTCTTGTAAGAATCCGATAAGATTTTCATAAGTGGTTCGTACATTATGCTGAACTTAAACAGATGTAGAAAACCACAGTTACATCAATTAAAGCTATTAAATTAGAATTTTGAAAATACCTTCTGCTCCTTCAAAATTTTAGTAATTTTAATCACCTTCATTGCTGGTAATTGATTCGACGATGTTTTGTTTCATCTGTTAATGCGAGCTGTCAATAAAAACTTGTTTATATAAAATTCCCTTATAAAGTGGAAGAATTGCTGTTGACTATTACTATATTCTAAAGTGATTCTTCTTGCTGAAGCTTTCATCCATTGTTATTAGTAAAATTGCAAGTAAAATATCTTCAGAATTTTGTTGAGAAAAAACTATAGATGAGATAAAACTTTCGACATAAACACGGTAAAATTGAAACAAAACAGTGTTTTCACTATTCTACTATTGTTTGCTACTGATTAGAGGTTTTAAAATTAATATCATTCAGCTAATTGCAGTTACTGTTATCATCTCTAGAAAAGACGTTTGAGACGTTTTCACAAATGATTAGCTAACCAGTTTTCTGTGAGATAGAAAAACTTTCTTCATAGATAGATCATTGAAGCATTGCATTTAGTTGTAATATAATTATTGATGTGGAGCAAAATATCTTTTTCTTCATTCTCATCCAATGTACCAATCATTCCAAAGAAAAATAATTGTAACACTAACATAACACATCGAGATGAAATCCGTCACGTCAAAACTGAGAACGTTTTCAATGCCAGAAATACTAAGACTGATAAAGATGTTCCAATTATTCTGAAATACGTTAAACAGACAGAGCCATCAAAAGTCAAAAATATTCTTCTTCATCAAATTCTGTTGTAAATAAATAATAAGATTTGTTTTATTCAAAATTTAATTCTATGTGATGAAAACTAATCTAGTAATGAGTCAAAAACCTGTCTGAAAATGAATGAGAAATTTATAGTTTGAATTTTGAGATATATTCATCATCCGAAGTGTGACATGATTCTTCTAATGTTGCAATTCTAAAACCTTTTCATTTTCTTCAGTGCTAAGATAAAATATTCACGTATTCAAGGTATGTCGAACATTTAGTTAGTTAATAAGGTCTTGGTGGAAAATATCGAAAAGGAAAATGTCGATAAAAAAAGAGCAAAACGTCGAAGAGGAAAATGTAGAAGAACAAAATGCCGAAAAGGCAAGCATCGAAAGCGGATAATGGAAGAAGG